TCCTTCAAGCCATTTCTCCTGCCATTGTACCTGCACTCACTCACATCGTTAACACATCCCTTCACAATGGTGTTTTTCCCTCAACATTTAAACAGGCTCGTATAACCCCACATCTTAAGAAACCCTTTAGATTTGCAAAAATTTACCTTTCTATCTCCCTTCTACCTTTCATAGCAAAAATACTTTAACGAGTTGTCTTCAACCAAGTCTCTGCCATTCTCACAGAGAACAACCTCCTGGACAGCAACCAATCTGGCTTCAGAAGTGGACATTCGACCGAGACTGCTTTGCTCTCAGTTGTTGAAACCCTAAGACTGGCAAGAGCGGCTTCCAAATCTTTTATACTTATCTTGCTGGATCTGTCCGCTGCTTTTGATACGGTGAACCACCAGATTCCCCTGTCAACCTTATTGGCAAAGGGCATCTCAGGAATCACACGCCAGTGGTTTGAGTCTTACCTATCAGATAGGTCCTTCAAGGTACCTTGAGAGGTGAGGTGTCCAAGTTGCAACATCTAACTACTGGGGTGCCTCAGTTCTTGGACCCCTTCTCTTCTCTGTCTACATGGCATCACTAGGTTCTGTCATTCAGAAACATGGCTTTTCATATCACTGCTATGCTGATGAAACTCAACTCTACCTCTCATTCCATCCTGATGATCCGACGATAGCTGCTTGCATCTCAGCTTGTCTAACAGACATTTATTGCTGGATGAAGGACCATCACCTTCAACTCAACCTTGCCAAGACAGAACTGCTTGTGGTTCCATCAAACCCATCGTTTCATCACAATTTCACCATCCAGTTAGGCACATCAACCATAACTCCTTCAAAAACAGCCAGAAACCTTGGGAGTTATGATTGATGATCAGCTTACTTTCTCAGACCACATTACTAAAACTGCCCGGTCCTGCAGATTTGCTTTATTCAACATCAAGAAGATCAGGCCCTTTCTTTCGGAACATGCTTCACAACTTCTTGTTCAAGCTCATGTTCTGTCCAGGCTGGACTATTGCAATGCTCTCTTGGCAGGTCTTCCAGCCAGTTCCATCAAACCTTTACAATTAACCCAGAATGCGGCAGCAAGATAAATTTTTAATGAGCCGAAAAGAATGCACGCCACACCTCTGTTTATCAATTTGCACTGGCTACAAATAGCTGCTCGCATAAAATTCAAGGCATTAATGTTTGCCTACAAAACCACCACTGGCTCTGCACCCCTTTACCTAAATTCATTACTTCAGACTTATGTGCCCTCTAGAAGCTTGCGTTCTGCAAGTAAACGTTGCTTTATTGTGCCATCCCAAAGAGGCACAAAATCACTTTTTTTAATTAAATGTTCCCTCCTGGTGGAATGACCTGCCCCAACTCAGTCCGAGTCCTTAGCCATCTTCGAGAATCGGCTAAAAACTAATTTTTTCCATCTTTATTTGACCCTCTAACTCTAGCACTCTCTATTCCATTTATATTCTTAAAAAAAAAAAAAAACCTTGCCCCTTTTAGACTTACACTATTCATTTACTGACTGCTTTTCTTTTTCTTTTTTTTAAAGCACTAACTTCTCTAATCTTTTTGTATTCTATTTGTTTTTTTTATGCAATTAACAAAAGCAAAAAAAGGTCTCCAACACTAGCTTGCTGTTCTTTTTCTATTCTATCGGTTTTCTTTATTATACAATTAAAAAAAAAAAAACCTTGCTACGTGTACTGCGTTAAGCTAACTGAGACTTGTTATAGCACTTGCATATCATTGCTCTCATTGATTTTGATTGCTTCTATTGTCCTCATTTGTAAGTCGCTTTGGATAAAAGTGTCTGCTAAATGACTAAATGTAAGACAGTGATGTCTCATGCAGACCTCTAGTTTGTGTTTTGAAATCTGCATAACACATTCTTAAAATCAAAGGTGTAGAAACTGTAAAAACATTTTATTTTTGACACAGGAAATGGCAGAAATACATATTTACAATAGCAGTACAGTGTTAAGATGTTCAGGATGAATTGGTCACAAGAAAAAGCTTTTAAAAGGACACCAGGGAACAAATAAAAGTCTGCGAAAGTCAAGGCCCAGGTTTCCTCTTGGATGGCGGTTCACCCTCTCCCTCTTGTGCCTTACGTTTCTGTGATGAAAATGAAAACCCTATTTAGTTTTTAATGACAAATGTATTAGTATGCATCTAGTCAATGTTGTAATACATTTTGAAAGCAAATATATGAATTCATAGACTTTAGCTCTGTAATAGAAAACAATTACAATGTACGATTTAGTTTTTTACATTTTATCCAGAATAAAAATCCACACAGATCCAAGCTTTGTGTTTTTTTGTTGTTGTACCTTGGATGTTTCATGATGCATCAATTGGTTTGCAGTGTTTCTCATCTCATCATCCTGTTACATAAACATAAGGATTATATTTTAAATTTGCGGAATGCTGTTTTTTTATTTTAATTAAAGCAATCACAATTCAAATGCTATTTAAAGGTTGACAACTTTCAATACTAGTTTAATAACGCTCAACCCCTTTGGTCTAGTTAGTGGGTTTTTCAGCACGTACATTCAACCACGAATGTGCCAGCGCTTCTTCGACGCTCAGCCGCTTTTCAGGATCCACAACCAGGAGCTTCTTGATCAAATCTTTGGCTAAAAGAAAGTGAATATATAACTTATGCTTTTAAGTTAAAATATTTCTGACAATATAAACTGATACAACGTACACACTATTTAAATGGGACATTGGATGCCTGATTTTCCACAAGATGGAACGATTCTTTAGGGTCTTCATGAAATGTCTGCAACATACTTTCTCAATGGTCATGTAAAAGCTCTGTTCTCAGCGACCCGTTTCGGTGCCTGTCTCTTTAAATGATAGAGGTACTGAGAAAATTAAGACTCTTATATTCACTTTTACATCAAACAACACCTGCACTGCTTATGAACGTGGAGAACACGGCGGACAGCGTACAACTGGCTGAGGGTGGAAATATGCTAATACGGGACAGTCCGTCAGCGGTTGTGGGCGGGGCCTGAACAGTATGATGTCATTCTGCTCAGAAAAAATCTAAACAGATTGATAATTGAGACTGTTTAGGTTTTTGGGGATTAAAAAAAAAAAAGTGTGAATGGATTTTTATCATTGTAGGGAGGTTGTGTCCACACACTGCTAAGACACGTTTATATGTAAATACCAGGTAAAAGTGAATTTTGCATCCAATGTTCCCTTTAACTATCCAATTGAAACTGGAGAGTAAATACATTACCTTGATTTGAAACCTTCTTCCACTGAGATGGGATGAAGCGGTAGTGGCCGTTAATGATCTGCTCACGCACCGACATGGTAGAGCACTCGGTGTTGAATGGAGGATAACCACCCAAACTATGAAAATACAGAAACACACACACAGCTTTAGGAAGAAATATCATACATTCATATATCCACACAAGCTCAGCCTGCTTGAGTTTATATTTTGGCCACAAAATATACACATTATCTTTCAGAGTTCTGACCGATGAACTGACTTTTCCAGTCATTCATGAATACTGTAAAATTATTTTTGTAAAGTATTCTCTGTATGCAAGTTATCATTGAAATTAATAGATTTAAAACAAACTTATTTCATTTACTCACCCTCATGTCATTCCAACCCCGTATGACTGACTTTCATCGATTTGACCAAATGCTATGATAAAATTATGACCCTAACCAAAATTTGTCATTTTACTCAATTAAAAAATTAACATTAGCTCTTGACACTTTCATGAAAGAATCATTCTTTTGAGTCAGACTTTTTCCAGTGAATCAGTTGATCCACTACACAAAACTGATCGGAATGATTTGTTCACAAGTCAGACTGATCTGGTTCTCAAGTTCGACTTACTGACTTAATGATCCAGCTGTAGCAAACAACAGTTCACTGGAGATGAAGATTATCAGTAAAGAGCAAAAAATTCAGTCTATTCCTTTTACAAAAACAGAATAATGACACTAATGCTGAATTAAGCTTGTTTCATAATTTACTGAACTTGGCATTATTATTGAACTAAACCAACTTGAGATGAATAATGACACCACTGTCTGAAATTGCATTCGTTTCATAATTGTAGAACTTTGTGACATAATATGGTTATTTTCTGGTTAATTACTACACTGAAAAAAACGTAGTAACCTGCAACTGTTACTTTAAAGAGCCATTTCTACCTAATTAACCCATATAAAGGTAGTTTTTGTGATATAAATTAATTTTGGTAGATTAAGTGATATTAAATATATTTTTGACTTGAATAAAACTAGTTAATATAGATTTTAAAGGGGTCATATGACGCAATTAAAATTTTTCCTTTCTCTTTGAAGTGTTACAAGCTCTTGGTGAATAAAGAAGATCTGTAAAGTTGCAAAGACTAAAGTCTCAAATCCAAAGAGATATTCTTTATAAAAGTTAAGAGTCAGCCACACCTACCTAAAACGGCTCGTTCTAACACGCCCCCACATGTCTATGTCACAATGTGGGAAGATTTGCATAACGCCGCCCAAATGTTCACGCAAAGAACGAAGGCGTAACTTTGATTCTCGCTGTAGTATTGTTGCTGCCGCCATGTCGTGAAAACGCTGTGTTTAGTTGTGAAAGCAAAACTACTTTGTTTGGTCTTCCAAAAGAGGACGATATCCGCTTCATCATGCCTAGAGCTGATCCGTGCTGGTTGCTGAGGGAATACATCAACTTCTCGCTGTGGATCGCCAGACCGGTTTTCACAGTGGACGAAGCGGAGTCCAGCCCTACACAATTAAAGGAGAACGATGTCAGGAAGTGCGGCAAAAGTTACTCCAGTTTCTAAGCTCTCAGGTAAACCCACCTTAATCAAACAGATGTCGTCATGTGAGGCCAGCAGCACATTCTCAGGCTTGAGATCTCGATGAATGATCCCATTATTGTGGAGATACTGGAGAGAATATAAGAACATGTCTGAAAAATTCCTTTGTATCTATTGCTTGTCTCCTAGTCTAGCTTTCTAATAGACCTGGCATTATACGACGTATGAATATTGTTAGTTCTGTGACAAATTGCTTTTGCACCTCTATTGTAAATAGTTTTTGACGGAAGCATCTGCTAAATGCATTCCGTCTCGAAGAGCGAGATTCTGCACATAGGTAACGGGCATAAAAAATTGTTAATTTTGTTTTTAGAAAAAAGTACAACAGCCTTCATTAATATATTTTTGAAATTAGAAATTTTTGTAGTGGATTTAAAAATTATTAATCTATTGTTAGCATATTGTGACATTACCTTATAGCAGTGGTGGGTAACAGGCGGCCCGCCAGCAATAATATCTGGCCCGTGCCCGCAGCCAGATTATTTTGATAGCGGCTGGTTCTGAAATAGATCTGTCATGACAGCAACAGTTACTCGCAATCAAAGTATGTGAGCGGAGCGGCGTGGGAGTGGAGAGGTGTGATTTTTCAAAATATTTCAAATATTTTATCCCTTAAAATGATCATCAAAATTACATATTTAAATGTTTTTTCTAGTGATAATAATTCTCATGCCTTAAAATTGCTTTCACACTTGGTTCGCTTGCCTGGTCCGAACCAGAGTTCGATTGCTCCCCCTCCCCCGCTGGACTGCGTTCATATTTTATTTGGGTCCGAACCGCGGTTTGTTTGCATCATCAAACCAGCAGCTGTTTACCCCTTTGTTTAGTAACGACGGCGCAGGAGAAGACGGCAAATGCATATTACTCCCTGCACTTTTATATATTTACGTTTTTGAACCGTTCGTTTCGTTTACAAAGCTACGGTACATAACGGCACTTTCGTCTGCCTTACGAATGTACCGCAAATGCTCTAAAGAACGCTGAAGGTGAACAGAAATGAGATATACAGCTCTCTGTTTGCAGCGCGTCGGTCACTCTCGTCAGGAAAGTGAGTGAAACACACACACAAACACACATTTTTATCAAATAATACGTCATTAATAGCGGTTCACTTCCGTGATTTGGTACGATTGTGTTCACATCAGCAGCGAACCGTACCGGAGTTCACTTGAACCGTACCCCAGACCACCCTTTTTAAGCGGACTCGGGTACGGTTCGCGGGTGCGCACCCGAGTTCAGAAGACAGCGTTCACATCATCCAAACAAACCGAACTCTGAAGTCAATCGAACCTGGGTGCGCACCAAAAGTGTTAGTGTGAAAGCACCCTTAATTCGAGCCCACGCGTGAAGTGCAGACGCCGATGCGGGAGAGGTGGGTCTGACTCCGGGCTAATTTTACACTGTTGCCACGGGTTTTAATGCAAGTTAGCGGGTCTAAATTCACATTAAACCACAGCTTCATTGGTTTTTTGCTCCAATTTATTTTTGGTTTTGTGCAGGTATTGGTATATTTTGCATGCTAGTGATAGGAATCGATCCCTTAACGTGATTGGTTATTGGATTGTGACGTAGCAAACCGAGGGCTGTTTCAAACCGCATTTCTGGGACTGCCTTTGTGAAACTTCAGTTTTAAGGAGAAAATAGTCAGCAATGGTGTTGATTAATAGATTGGCACATGGTTTGTCTAAAAGCATATTAAAAACACCACATAGACAAATAAACAACATAAAAAAAAAAACTTGATTTTCACTACAGGGGGGACTTTAAAAGTCGGAGTGTGGTCTTCACTCGCTACAAGAGCACTCCACCACCGTTCCATCACGAGTACAAGGCATGCCAACAGCCCGTGATATAACTGCATATTTAGCAAGAATTCACATGTTAAACATATTTAGCTAGGCTTGATAGAGAAGGAGCACTCAAATCAGAAAGAATGCGAAGGCTATGATGACGGCAATGGGCATGAGCGGAAAGTTGTAGTTCAAGGAATTTGTTTGTTCCTTCTAGATACTGAATATTTTCAGCTGAAAGCATGATTTAAACAACACTTATTCACACGCAATCGATCTCTCAATAATGCATTCAAACAAATGTAATCTTACAGTGCTACTTCATCTGTATCTGATTTCGAATGAGCAGAAATCGGTAAGAAATGCATCGATCCGTAGGTAAAACAACTGATGAAAACGTACTGTTATTTTCATCACAAACAAAATTAGCACGGCAAAAAACAGCAATTATACCTTTTAATGCTGACAACCACGTTATTAGCTTGTCATGTGGTAGGAAAAAAATGTGCACACTAGTGTTCTAATAAGTCACTTTGAAACTGTAATACTTTAGCCGCAGAGCGGTGTTTCTGCGAGGAGTGGAGCGGGAAATGGTGAACCCGCAGCGGAGTGATAATTAAATGCTCGGAGCGCGGAGGGGAAATTGTTGATGCTCCACTCCGCTCACATACTCTGCCGGACATCACCACACAAATGTGGCTTTTTGTTAATGACTGTCCTTCTACAGGATTTAACACAGAGTAACAGCTCACTACCAGTTACTAGGGATGTAACGATTACCGGTTTGACGATAAATCATGATACAATTCCCCACGGTTAGTATTACCGTTTCATCTTTTAATTATCATTAAAACCGTATTAGATTACCGCGATTTGAACAACTCGCGATAAATAAATACTGTCCAACATAAAGCACAGTTTTAAGTATCAGTCTCACGTGCGCACAGCACGCAGAGTAGTTTTGTTTTGAGTGAAAACAGGGCGGAAAAGCTGGGAGGTTTTATAAGAGTGCTAAGGTAATTATACAAATGAATATATGAATTAATTAATTATATGAATGTACCTCTGAAGGTTCTGACTGTCTTCAGAAACGATTCGATGGCATTTTGTTTTCATCTTCGCTCCATGTAATACCTAAAGAAAGTGTTCTTAATCGCAAAAAGACACTGTAACAGTCTGTCACAGGCAATTCTAGATGCATTTTATATCAATGAATTTCTTATCCTTCGACTATGTTCTGGTGAATTTTTTTGGCCCGATGCCTTATAGCATATACTGTAACTACAAGTTTTAGTTTTTAGTGTTTCTTTTTTAAACCAAACAGTATAGTTTTATAATAATGACATCTATAGGTTATCAGCCACGACATTAATATATCAACCAGAAAATCTAATTTCTAGTAACCATTAAACAATCAATTAAAAAAGTTTAAAAGTTTGGGGTCAGTAAGATTTTTTTTTTTTTAAATAAATGAATATTTTTTTATTCAGCAAGGATGTATTAAATTGATTAAATTGTCAGAGTAAAGGTATTTTTATTAAATCAAAATAGTTTTATTTTAAATAAACACCTTTCTTTTAAAGTTTCTATTCATCAAAGAATCCTGAAATAAAATGTTTCACGGTTTCAACAAAAATATGAAGCAGCACAACTTTTTTCAACATTGATAATAATAAGAAACGTTTCCTGAGCACCAAATCAGTATATTAGAATGATTTCTGGAGGATCGTGTGACACTGAAGACTGGAGTAATGATGCTGAAAATTCAGCTTTGCAATTACATTTTAAAATATATTCAAACCGAAAACAGTTTTAAAATTGAAATATTTGACAATATTATAATTTTTATTGTATTTATTCAAATAAATGCAGAAGACGAGACTTCTTTTAAAAACAACATTTTTGAACGAAACTTTTGAAAGGTAGTGATGTAGCCATTTGAACATGGTACTACAAAGTTGTCTTTCCCCATTCTAAATGGTCAGTTGACTATCTATGGGTAAGCAGTGCAGGCTCACGCTTGTGTTCATTTAAAAAAACACTTTTAGAGGAAGATGCTGTTTGAAGCATCTCCCATAAAGTCCTACCTGCACAGCCCTGAGCATCTGATAAAAGTAGAGTTTGGCGATTTCTTCTTCCAGCTGTTTCTTGGCCTTGATCCTGCCAAACAGCTCTCCTCCTTCAACACTATTTCACAGCACAGAGACAATGAAATTATTCATTAAAAAGCATGTTCAAAATTGTGTAGAAGCTAATAAGGGTTATGCAACTACAAAAAAAAATACAGAGATCTGCTATGGTTGAGAATATAACCATATTCAATCTAGGGCTGGACGATATGGTCAAAATTTATATCACGATATATTTCTTAATTTCGGTCGATACGATATAATTCCGATATCGATATGAACACTATTAAAAAAGCCTCATAAAAACGGCCAAGAACGGCCACAACAGATGTCTGTACCTACAAACTTATGAAAAATTAATATGCCAACTCTATGAAACCTACTCCTATAAAACCATATCATATTTTTGGGAAAAAATGGCGCAAATAAATAAATGTTCACCTTTTACTGGTATTTAGCCTTCATACAAACAAGAAATGTGAAATCACTGTCAAATAAATCTGACTCTCCTTATTAATATTTGATTTGTACCCAAGTAAATTCAGCCTGCGAGTTCATGTTCCTAACTATTCCCAATAAAACACCACAGGGACTTACTACTCCAAAACAATGTAGTAGGAATCTTCCGTCTGGTAGAAATCTTCTGTCTTGATCAGGCACGGCTGCAGGGAAGAGAAAACAATGAGATGTGAATGAGATGTTTTATCTATAGCTCTGTGGCATGTAAAGACTCATTAATGACTTACATGATCAATTTTCTTTAAAATTTCAATTTCCCGCTCAGCATTGCGTGTGGCCGTCTGTTGGAACGCAAACAGAACATTTTAAAATTAATCAGGTATGAGTATTTTTAAACGGTGTGTACGAACAAAATCCTAAACCATCACACGTCTTTTTTGAATGGATATGCATCACCTAATAGTAGTTCTCACTGAAATGGGTTTCTCACAACACCAACACGTTCTAAATTGAAAACAAAACCATTCCGATTTCAAAATATTCAAAATCACTGCAAAAACTAATTATTAACTTCAAATAACAACTACTATACGTATATGGGTAAAAGGACATTAAGACAAATTTATTAAAGTGATTTTATGTCCATAGAAAGCACATAAAAAATGTAAGTAAAGTGTCTACTTTTAAGGTTTCAAATACGTTTTTGGAGAATAAAATGTAAAAATTTGGTTGATATAATGTTATATTGTCATTCAGTGTAACACAATATTTATGTAAAAATTCAAACAACATGCTTCTTCTGACGTGTACATATTAAAATATATAAAAGAATAAGGGAGCATATGAAATTGGATTGTGTTTTAAATGAGTAAAAATTTCTTACCGACAAAAATGGGCAAAACCTAGGATAGTGGCAAATTTTAAAAAGGCAAAATTACAACTAATTAGTATTTGGGGTGAAAGTAATTAGTCTTTTAATATGTCATAAATTGATTTTTGTTGTAAATATGCCTGACAAATTGTTACACTGAATGACATTTGAATTATTAACTTCAAATAACAACGACTATACGTATATGGGTAAAAGGACATTAAGACAAATTTATTAAAGTGATTTTATGTCCATAGAAAGCACATTAAAAAAAGTAAAGTGTCTACTTTTAAGGTTTCAAATACGTTTGAAAGAGAATAACGTTTTTGGAGAATAAAATGTAAAAATTTGGTTGATATAATGTTATATTGTCATTCAGTGTAACACAATATTTATGTAAAAATTCAAACAACATGCTTATTCTGACGTGTACATATTAAAATATATAAAAGAATAAGGGAGCATATGAAATTGGATTGTGTTTTAAATGAGTAAAAATTTCTTACCGACAAAAATGGGCAAAACCTAGGATAGTGGCAAATTTTAAAAAGGCAAAATTACAACTAATTAGTATTTGGGGTGAAAGTAATTAGTCTTTTAATATGTCATAAATTGATTTTTGTTGTAAATATGCCTGACAAATTGTTACACTGAATGACATTTTAGTGGGTCTCTTCTGTAAATCAGGGAAAAATGTATGATATTTATTATTTGCTCAGAAAAACAAAATCAAAACTGCAATTAAATTAAACGGAAAACCTTTTAATTTTTTTTGTGAAAAACTACAACAATTTAAAGCAGTATTACACTTATTGTTTTTATGCTTAAACCCTTTTTCATCTTTGACCCATATACAGCTAATACCGTTTTCACATGAAGCGAAATAAGGGAGCATATGAAATTGGATTGTGTTTTAAATGAGTAAAAATTTCTTACTGACAAAAATGGGCAAAACCTAGGATAGTGGCAAATTTTAAAAAGGCAAAATTACAACTAATTAGTATATGGGGTGAAAGTAATTAGTCTTTTAATATGTCATAAATTGATTTTTGTTGTAAATATGCCTGACAAATTGTTACACTGAATGACATTTTAGTGGGTCTCTTCTGTAAATCAGGGAAAAATGTATGATATTTATTATTTGCTCAGAAAAACAAAATCAAAACTGCAATTAAATTAAACGGAAAACCTTTTAATTTTTTTTGTGAAAAACTACAACAATTTAAAGCAGTATTACACTTATTGTTTTTATGCTTAAACCCTTTTTCATCTTTGACCCATATACAGCTAATACCGTTTTCACATGAAGCGATGTACACTACTGTTCAAAAGTTTGGTGTAAGTAAAATTTTATACATTTTTTTTTAAAGAAATGTATACTTCTAATCAGCAAGGACAGATTAAATTGATCAAAAATGACAGTATAGACAATTATGATATTACAAAAAAAAAAAAAAAATCTCAAATAAATGCTGTTCTTTTCAACTTTTTAATCATCAAAGAATCCTGAAAAAAAAAATATATATATAAATAAATAGTTTCCACAAAAATATTAGGCAGAAAAAATATTTTCAACATTACTTGAGCAGCAAATCAGCATATTAGAATGATTTCTGAAGGATCGTGTGACACTGAAGACTGGAGTAATGACTGATGAAAATTCAGCTTTGCATCAAAAGAATAAATAACATTTTAATTTATTAAAATAGAAAACAAATATTTTAAATTGTAATAATTTCACAATTTTACTGTTTATACTGGACTTTTGATCAAATAACTTCAGGCTTGGTGAGCATAAGAGCCTTAAAAACATTAAAAATAAATAAATAAAAAGTACCGACCCCAAATCTTTGAATCTCAACTGGTTGATCTTTAATATCATTGCTAATAAGTATATGGGGTGAAAGTAATTAGTCTTTTAATATGTCATAAATTGATTTTTGTTGTAAATATGCCTGACAAATTGTTACACTGAATGACATTTTAGTGGGTCTCTTCTGTAAATCAGGGAAAAATGTATGATATTTATTATTTGCTCAGAAAAACAAAATCAAAACTGCAATTAAATTAAACGGAAAACCTTTTAATTTTTTTTGTGAAAAACTACAACAATTTAAAGCAGTATTACACTTATTGTTTTTATGCTTAAACCCTTTTTCATCTTTGACCCATATACAGCTAATACCGTTTTCACATGAAGCGATGTACACTACTGTTCAAAAGTTTGGTGTAAGTAAAATTTTATAAATTTTTTTTAAAGAAATGTATACTTCTAATCAGCAAGGACAGATTAAATTGATAAAAAATGACAGTATAGACAATTATGATATTACAAAAAAAAAAAAAAAATCTCTCAAATAAATGCTGTTCTTTTCAACTTTTTAATCAAAGAATCCTGAAAAAAAAATATATATATAAATAAATAGTTTCCACAAAAATATTAGGCAGAAAAAATATTTTCAACATTACTTGAGCAGCAAATCAGCATATTAGAATGATTTCTGAAGGATCGTGTGACACTGAAGACTGGAGTAATGACTGATGAAAATTCAGCTTTGCATCAAAAGAATAAATAACATTTTAATTTATTAAAATAGAAAACAAATATTTTAAATTGTAATAATTTCACAATTTTACTGTTTATACTGGACTTTTGATCAAATAACTTCAGGCTTGGTGAGCATAAGAGCCTTAAAAACATTAAAAATAAATAAATAAAAAGTACCGACCCCAAATCTTTGAATCTCAACTGGTTGATCTTTAATATCATTGCTAATAACTTATCGCACTGCTCAATGTGGACTATAAGGTTGTGCTGGGTGGTATACCGGTTCATACCGAATACCGGTGTTTATTTTTCTTATGATATACATTTTTAAAATACCGCTGTCATTTAAATAATGCTCGGAACGCGTTTGGGGGGGGGGGGGGTCTTTTC